GGATTTGTGTTTTCAGGCCTTTGCTGACGAGGGTTGATGTTGTCAGGCTGCCTGGGTGCTGTGAGGTGAAAGCAGGCAGGACTGGGCCGGTGTCACTGCCACCCCAGAGCGGGACAAGCCCAGTGCTGAGCTTCCCCCAGAGGCCAGGCAGAGATAGGTGGGAAGGACCAACACCGCCTTTCCCACCCCAGATGCTCCTGGAGGAGGATACGGTTCCTGCCCCCCCCAGAAGGGATTCGAAGCCAAGGAACACACAAAGCCCCTGCTCACCCCACTCCTGGGTGGAAGCATCCCACCTGGCTACGGTGGTCCCTTCCCAACCCACGGCAGCGGGGCCCGAAAGGGACACAGAGTGACAAGCCACAGCTCAGCAGCCCGAAGGGGTTGGCAGAGGAGGGACCCAAGCCCCAAACAGCGTCCTCAGACTCCGCACGTTTCCCCTGCTGCGATGGGAGTCATCACCGAGGAGAAAACCAACACCCTGGCCTTGACCTCACGTCCTCGACCTCCAGCTATTAGCAGCGCCCTTCGGTGTGGGAAGCAATGTCTTGTGGTTTTTAAGAGAAACGGGTGACGCCGGTGCCGGCATGTGTAAGCAGGAGCCAGCACCATATATATACACGACCGCTCTCCGGGATGAGAAGCCGAAAAAGCTTCCCGACCCTGCAGCCATGCCCTGCAAGGCGCTCGCCGTCTGCCTCCTGGGGCTCCTGGCTCTCTCCTCTTTTTAGCTGCCCCATCGGGGGCAAACGCGCAGCGCTGGACATCAGGAAGGTACGTCCCGGCGGGCTGGAGCCCTCCTGACCCCCTCCTCTCCTTCTGCCCACCCTCCCCAGTGCTCCCATGGGCAAGATGTCGGCGGGAGGGAGGAAAGGACCAGGGGAAAGGCTTGACCCGACCCCAGGTGCTTTCCCCAATAACTCTCCCCTCCTCTTCCTTCCCCGAGCAGTGCCTGCCCTGTGGTCCCAGGAACAAAGGCCACTGCTTCGGTCCCAACATCTGCTGTGGAGAAGAGCTGGGTTGTTACATCGGCACCTCCGAAACCCTGCGGTGCCAGGAGGAAAACTTCTTGCCGACACCCTGCGAGTCGGGACGTAAACCCTGCGGTGGGAGCGGAGGAAGCTGTGCCGCCCCCGGCATCTGCTGCAGCAGCGGTGAGGGCAGCGCCGGGGCCGCGTCCCTGCCAGGGCTCTCGCCACGGGGGTCCTCGCACACCGTATAGAAGTGGGAGAAGGGACGTTGCCCAAGGGATCGTCTTTGTCATGGCCATCTGTCTGTCCGTCCATCTCCCCGACAGCCAGGGCCACCCCGCTCTGGGCAGAGTCGATCCTGACGCCACGGAAGGCAGTGACAGACGGTCGGGTTTTGGGG